TGCTCAAAAAAAAATAATCTATCTGAATATATAGAAAAAAATTGTGTTTCTATTTAAAAAAATGTAAGTTGTATTGCGCATGCGCACACCAAAAGTGTTAATAATTTGAAATTTATCCAAAAATATGTATTTAGATACTCCCTATCACCTCCCGAAAACGCCAGTTCAATACAAGGTCATTCACCTGAGATATTTAGTGTTACCATAAATCGTGATCACACTGTGTATATACCTATATATATATATATATATAATATCTATGTGGATTGATTGTTGCGATCAATCACTCAACATTGAGAATGCGCACCGCCCGCTCACCAAATTGGTGACCACCCGAGTTTTTAGTGGCAAAAACCTTGCCACACATTATATATGTTACCAACCTACCATAACAACCCCCATAGTTAAAAACCTACTAAGAAAAATCATCCAATGGTCTATATGTAGTGTAGCCGTAAGTCAATTAAGAAGAAAAAAAATTAAAATTATATAATGTACCTATTTCTAAGGACCAAGATCACATTTATAAGCACTTAATTGTTAATATTGTATTATATTATTTAAAGGCAATGTAGATACACACTTTATATTATAGGTACCCAACATACATATTTTAGATTCTGTTTGAGTTAGAAATTCATAAAAATGTATCTTTCTAAAACTAATTTATACCTAAGAAGTAAGTGCAGTTGGAAAATATTAAAAATACCAATGCATGTTTTTTTTATAACCATTTAAAGTTCAAATTTTGACAACATTTATTCAATTGAAAATTTACAAATTCTTCAATTGTTAAAAATATATAACATGTTTAAATTGTATAGCTAAGGATTGAAAATTAAAAACAAGGTTCCACGTAAGAAGTTAATTCTGCTGCAATAAAATCTAAAAACTATTCGAACACAGCTTAATTTGTGTAGTTATTTTAAGTTGAAGTTTGGATGAAATTAYATATTAAATAATCAAGAATAACAATTTTAGTTATAGTTGCAATTTAAAAATATTATTCATGGGTAGGTACTTAAATTTCTAGGGTATACTTTATATTCTAATATTAATAGCTAAGTCGTTAATGATTTGTATGATTAATGATTTGTACTACCTATGCATATGGCTTTAATACTATAATGTTTAGTATATAATACTCTGTATTTGCGAGATTGAACTATGTGTTGCAAAAATATTTAGTTTTAAGGAACCACCAAAAATTTAAAACTTTAAAATTTCACTGTTATATTATATTATATTTATTTATGTTAATTGGTTATTGCTGCATGTCGCACTCAAAGAAATTGTATTTTAAGTGGTTCTATACAAATTATCAGATATAATTTGCTTAAAAATAGCATTTATGAAATAATTGTTGATCTGAACATTCAATAAGGAACTACAA